TTCTTGAAACTGGGCACACAGCCAGTGACTCAAAACTACTCAAAACCAGCAAATAGGGTTGGTTGTTCAAATACAATAATTAACCTACACCAAAGATTTTGATTCATTTTAAAATATTTGTTTATCTGAGAAACAAAGCAAAACAAAGACAACTGAGAAAGTAGTATTTACCATTAAAACTACGAAGAAAGTTGTTCATGTTACACTAGCAATGAGTCAGAGCTGACCAGTTATTTTGTGAGTCAGAAAAACTTGCACAAAGAAAAACAGCAAATGAATCATTCTTGATACAAATTGGAATGAGTTGTCTCATGGAATTAATGCTACATTTACTCTAAAGATGATCATTATCACATGGGTGATTAGGCAAAACTATTGTACCTCCTACTGGCAATTAGAAAACAGCTCAAATTTTCTTCTGGGTAGTGTAGATGCTAATGAAAGCCTACTGGGTAAAACATCTGTATCTTTTGTTCTCTGCTGATTATTTGAGTGAATAATGGGAACCTCCAATTTGAGTGTTGACCTGTTCTCTGTTTCTCTTAATTCTAAGTCTTGACCTTGGTTTCATTGGATCTAGAACAAAGTCACCTTTAGGATTTTTCTCATCAGTGTATCAGTGGGTCTTCAAGTGTAAACAGTAATATGGGGTCCTCTGAGACACTCACCTGCAATGCTAAGACTGACTGGTAGGTACAGTTTCCATTTATTAAAGTACTGTACACTAATACCACATGCTACTTGCACAAAGTAGTGTAAGAGGTAACTTGCATTTTAAAAAGACACAACATTCAGCCTGTATGATATATTCATACAATATTCATCCTAACCACTGATGTACTCATTCTTGCAGGACCATGATTTCAACAAATGACCCCTCTAGCACTGAAGGTCAAAAGTATTGCGGCTGTCTTCATTTTGCATGCTTCGTTTGCATGCTTCTATATAAGTTCCCCCACCCATCTACTGTAAAGGATCACCATTAACCTTCAGCGATTGCAATCTGATGGTAATGCCCAGTGGATGGAGAACTCATTTGCCTAATAACAGACAGGATCTAACTATGGAAGTCGAAAATAGCTCGTCAATCAGAATACTGTATCCTCGTGTGTACTCTCATAAGAGAGAAATAGCTTATCTTCATGCTCAAAGGACAGTACGTGCGGGACAAATATCAGTCTATCTGAAAAACCTGCAAAACAAGGTCTTTCCACAGGCTTTAGTTGTGTAGCTGAAGGTCACTTTGCTGGTGCTGCAGACAATTGAAAATCTGGGTTAATGATCACAACAATCCCATTTTTCTGGTCTGCTCAGAACACAATGCCCTTCTAATCTCACACTGTCATGGATGGTAGATCATTTTATTATTATTTTATGTATTAAAGATGCATCTCCCACCTGTCATGGACACTTCTTTATCCAGCAAAATACAGAAACTCCAAACTTCATCTCCAACAGGACACTATAGACATGTCCCGGGAGGAGTATTCTGTCAACTCTATAATTTCCATGTGACACTTGGTGAGCTGGCTCACTTTGTGGAATATGGCTGGCACCAAGTCCCTCAATAAGTAGTGACTGATTAACACTGCAAAGAGACATGTCTATGTCAATGGTAGACAGTCCTTGTATGCTGCAGATACAAATATGCTTAAGATCCGTTCTTGTTCTTCAACAATGTCAAAAGCATATGAATACATCCATGGTAGTATGATAAGAAACATTTGATTCAAAAAGGTACAGTAAAATGGATATACAGCTGTATGGGAGAAATCCTACTCATTACCTCAATATCAAAATGAGTCGAACCAATGCAATATCATCCACATATGATTAATTTAACAGGTGAAACTGAATTACATTTTCAGACAAGATATTAGACTTTAGCCACATGAGTGTGGTAATAACAGAGTCATGTGCATGTATGGCATTCATCATTTCGTTAATGATGTCTCAAAATTTCAGAGAAGGGCTCATAAAAGTGAGATGCCATGATCATTTAAATGAAAATCATACTGTATAAATGGAATATCTCATGATTTTTTTCCTGGCTCCTCAGATCCCCTGATTTGTTGCAGTAAAATGAGTTGGAAAATTCTATTCCTTCTTAGCTAAAGTGAAAATATTAGTTCAGCCAGGAGGACTCTGGAAAATGGAAAATACAACCTTATTGTAAATTTGAATGGCCATGCAAACACAAGTGTAATTTTTAGAGTTGGCTTTTGACTTGGCCTTGTAGGGAAGACTCCCACCAAAGAGGAAAGGTACCGATACCCAGCATTAAAGGCCCTCAACAGGCCAAGGGTAAGGGGAAGTGTAGCTGCCGCTGTCCCATTATGCCAAGCCAAAACACAGGTGGAGGCTGGGGTTGAGGAGAGATCTGCAAACATGGCAACCATGGTGCTCTTCAGTACATGGCAGTTTTAAACAGACAGATACACGTTCCCATTGGAAGATATCAGTTTGTGACTTTACATGACTGGATTTGATAAACTTTTGTTTTATTGTGTTTGTGTATTATATTTTTGTTTTGCCATAGTATAGGCTGCTACTTTGTTCATATAATATATAAAAGTTTATCAAATGTTGCGCTGATAATGCTGGTGTTGTCATATCACTGCTTAAATGAACTGCACCCAGGGTATTGTGCAAGTACACACAGCATCTCAATCTCTGATAGGTGCGTTCTCCGTCCTCGCGATCTTGCAAGACCGTTCTCTTCAAGGAAGCTTGGCAAGAACGTTCTTCTCAAGGACACAAGTACGTTCTTAGCCTTCTTGGCATTGATAAACAGCCGCAGATTGATAAACAGCCCCTGTGAAATTTTGCTCCCCTACTTGAAAGTGCCTAATACTAATAAAATGTGGACCCCTTAATGAAGTCCAAATTATTGCCTCGTTCAAATTTAAATTATTTAATGTTTTTGTTTGATTAGCTTTGATTGTACTGTAAAATTTTACTGATGCTAATGTTAAAATTGTTTTGCTCACTCAGTAGCCTATGAAGGTAAAAAAAGAAATTATTCAAAAAAGAAAAACGAGTGTCTTGTGATATGCCTGAGTATAAACTAACTTTTATATATTCAGAGTTACTTTTATATATTCAGGTGTTACATTTATATATTCAGAGTTACTTTGATATATTCAGGAGTTACATTTATATATTCAGAGTTATATTTATATATTCGGGAATTGAATTTATATATTCAGAGTTACATTTATATATTCAGGAATTGAATTTATATATTCAGAGTTACATTTATATATTCATGAATTATATTCATATATTCAGAGTTACATTTATATATTCAGCTTTATACTTATATATTCAGAGTTACATTTATATATTCAGCTTTATATTTATATATTTCCTGTTTGGCCCCTCGTTATATATATATATATATATATATATCATGTAGAAAGACAGGCAGAAAGAAAGAAAGACAGATACAGATACAGACAAAGAAACCTGCCATGTCTGATAATGTCTAACAGTAATACTGGTTTGTGTGTCATGTTTTTGTCCAGAATTACAGTAGCAGTAATGCTGGGAAAATGTCTGTAGCACTGAGCTGGGGGTATGTTCTTTCCTGCTGCTTAAGAAAGATTTGCTTAAAATCCTAATACAGTATGTGTTAAGTTGACAACTTGCAGCATTCACTTATCAACATCCCAATTATGTATTGGCTATAGCATTGGCAATTAACACAATTATGACTGATTCATAAGTAATGTTATATTGTAATTATTAAAGTAAAAAATATGATAAAATGTATAGTCATTTCGTCCTCAGTTTGTTCTTTGGTCATGTCATGTATGCTCCCAAGAGTTTAGACATAAATTAGGCTTAAATTACTTAAATTACCTGAACAGAATCTCCAAAATTGTTTCCTTATATTGCCATTTTTCCCAAATCTGTCTTTGGAGTTCAGAATATAGTCTGTCCTCTCTCTTTTAAATTATGTGCTCAAGGAACATAAGAACATACGAACACATCTACAAATGCTATGCCGAAGATTAAAACTGCTCCAATATGGAATAAATGCACAACTTTAATCGAATATTAGCTTGATGGTGGAGAGGTATTATTTTCAGGAGAAGATAATTGAATTCACCAGCCTAAAATTGCACCACTTGTCATTTGCATGCACCTGTGATAACTCAGTTACATTACTCACCATGCCTTTAAGCAGAAAGAAAAGAACAAAACAAAAACAATCACTTTCCTAAACGCAATTTATGTTACTATCAAATGGAACTCAGAATAAACTATATTCCAACTGTTTAAAGTGAATTGATTTGGGGAAAGTAATGAAGGAGATGCCAAAGCAACAAAACATATACTTTTTATATTTCACAAAACAAACAGACAAAAGAGTTAGGTTTTCTCACTGTATGTAAATACCTTATTCCATGAAGGCTCTGAGAATGATGCTCCTTTATAACAATATGTAAGGAAAATAATAAAATTTATATTTGTGTAAACATCTCCAGAAATTGCAGTGAATAAATGTGGAAAGGATAAAGAGTTTAAATAAAAGGAAAGGAAACGTTAATATAAAAGGTCCTTATCTCATTTATCCATTTTTTAATTTTTCACAAATGGCAGTGGTTAAGTGACCACCCCATATGAACAGTCATCCCCATACAGGAAAAAAATACATACATGAAATATATTTTGACGAGCACTTTTGTAATATATGTAAATATTCAAAATTGGCCCAATAAATATATTTTCTTGAAATATATGTTAATATATTTACTAATTAAATATATTTTCTTATATGTATATTTCTGTTTGTATGTTACATATATGTGCATTTATTTTTGACTTTGAGATAATAAGATTATTTCACATAAAACAATTATTCTTATTGGCATGTAGCAGACGCTCTTACCCCAAGCGGCTTACATCAGGTACAATGTTATCCATTTATACAGCTGGATATTTACTGAGGCAATTTGGGGTTAAGTACCTGGCCCAAGGGTACAGCAGCAGTGCCCCAGTGGGGAATTGAACCAGCAACCTTTTAGTCACAAGCCCTGCACCTTAACCACTATACTACACTGTGAAATATATATGTATACATTGTAGTAATAATGAAATGAAGAAGCTATTGTGTGTATATTTCGTAAGTGCAGTGTTGGACACTAAGTGTATTCTATCTTAATATTGTATTATTTCACTGTACTTTACTAATGCAGTGTCATTGTATTATACTTGCATCATAAATACTGTGCATATTTTCAATATTATTTTAAACAACAATTACTTTTCAGAAAGATGTGCATCAAAGCATGTCAATAAATGTAATAATTGAACTAAGTGCTGTTTTAATGTAGCCTGATGTCCTAGGGAAGCAAATGTAATTTGTCATTTGACATTGCAGTCATTTAAATGTAAATATACAGTATAGTGTAGTAGTATGTAATATAGTATACAGTAGCGAAATCTGTTACTGTTGTGTAGGGAAAGAGGAGGTAATTCCTAAACTACTCGAAAAACAGAACATTTCGGCCCTTCTTTAGCTGTATAAGCGAGGTGCTTCTGAGGCTGAAACATGTACAGCTGAAGGAGTTTCGTCAGTTACAGTCAACTAAAATTTCATGACCATATATGTTTTGTTTTATATTTTGCATTTCATGTCATAAAATTGAATATATTTCACACTTAACATCATATATTTTGTTATATTTGTAATATTGAAATATATTTTGAAACATAAGTTAACAACAATGCAAATGTATTGCAATGTACTTACAATATATTCCACATATATTTTTGACACTTAAAATATATTTCAATACATTTTTTTCTGTATGGGTCTAATGGGTAAAATCAGGAGAAACAATGAGATGTGAGATGCTACATACCCTCATGTGTTCCTCATGCCTGCTTTACAACATGGACTCTGTACAGAAATCAAAAGGAGATGCACATAAGGGCAAAAAGGCACTCATGTAGAACTCTCCATCTTCATCATTGCAGTAAGTGGTTCAAGTTTACAATGCATATAATATTGCAAATTCCATAGACTAAATAAGTGTCCAAGGGTACAACAGCAGTGTCCACAATTCAAAAATCTTAATTCTCAGGCCTTGTTATTTTAAACTGTACACATATTCTTTTTAAAAAAGGTCAAATGAAAAGCTGTGTGATGATGTATATATTGTGGTACTGACACTCCAAATATAGATTTTTCTGTCCCGGATTGACCTTGAATGAGCTTAATATAGGTCTTTCTACCATCCATATTTTTACATGGTGCACAAATAAAAGTACATGATAGATACGAGGCTTCAGGAACAGTGTCAGTTCGCTTTATAACATGTCATGGGATGTTTGAGTTTGGGATTTACTGACAAACAGTAAATAGTTGTCCTTATCAAATATCTAACTTTTTCTCCTTGTCATCTCTCCAAAGTGAAAAGCACTTCAGAAGCTATTTATGTATTACACAGCACCTCGTAAACTGGATCCACTCTCAACTTATTACTGAGAATTTTAGAGTTTTCCAATTTCTCCGTACGCTGTGCACAATGCACACTGAATAATGTCATTATTTCTCCCCACATCTTCACTAATTTACTTAGTATTTTTCCATCAAAGCTTTTGTACTGAATCTAATGGAAAATTCCATGTGTGAGCATTTTGGGGATACTAAAACGTTTATGGTTTTAAAATTGCTCTATATATAGCCAGCATACTTTCATCAGTTCGAAATTGTTGAAGATATGGTGTCTTTCATTGGAGCGCATCATTGGCTCTTCAACTCTTGATGACACTGTAGTCATGCTTGGTTGGGATTTTGCCAGCCAGAATGTCCGGTGGGAAACAATAGTTGCATCTGAGGCTGACTGGTTCTTGTATAATTACAATTTGCCAAACAGTGTCTGAGGAAGCAACTGATTCTGCTTCTAGAGGAGGTTTTCAGCACTTAAATTATTTCTCAGTGCCAGCTGGAAAATGAAAAACATAGTACCATGGTCACATCTCAAACTGTAAATCTTACACATACTAGAAATGGACTGAAGGAACATCATTAATTATGATCGTGGTGGTTCTGCATTATGACATCAACCAGTAGGTAACACTTATGCTGATTAATGCTAATGACTAATGCTTATGCAATGTCCATCAGTTGACCATTTCTTGACCCTGCATTAGTCTTGATTTTTTTTTTTTTGTGGGAAGCAAGAGATAGGCTGACCTCCTCTTAACATGGGTTTATCTTTTAGTATTCTGTTAAATCAATGAACATGACAAATCCCTGCATCTGCTTTCTCTGTAACATGGCAAAGAAGTCCTGTGGCTGCTGTGTGCTAATGCACTTGTATCTGTAGCTCAAAAACATGCTTATAGCTACAGGTTTTTAGGTTCAAATCTAAGTTATGTTACTGCTGTTGTACCAATGAGTGTAGTTCTTAGCCTTAGGTGCTTCAGATGAATGCCCAGCTACATAAAAGAATGACCTGTGAGAATGTCAATATAACCGTGTATGACTGTCTGCTAACCAGATTCATTTCTTATGTGCGCTTATGGGATCAAAGATTACCGAGACCACCTAATATGATGTAAATTGCACTTAAACGTATTTACTAAACTAACCATTTTGAAGCAGCATACTGTGGTTTTCAATTTATTGCTATCTGCTGTCTGCATACAGTATATAAGTATTTCCCAACTATCCCAAGTATCCCAAAGTTATTGGCACATATAGTATATCAGCAGCTTTTCACATGACCACATCCACATACCATGCAGCTGAATATATTCTTCACTTCCTTTCTGACTTATCCAAGGTTTTTGATTTTATATATTTTTTAACTGACATAGTTCTTTGGTGCAGCAGGAAATGAAAAGTCATCTCAGCATCCACATTACATCTCAATTGGTGATACATGGAGATATTATCAGCATACATTTAGTTCAGTAGGCTTACCCTGCCATATGCACTCATTTATACCTCAATTTAATTTTTACCTAAATTTACCTAAATTTTAATAGCTGCCATGCTTTAGAGAGAGTGCATATTTTTCACAGAAATGTTCAAATTGTGAGAACATATTTAAACCTCCACATAAAGTGTCAGTTTTAGGACAATCCTGAAATGCATTTATTTTCATTATATATGTTAAAATTCACCTGTTAGTAAAAAAAATATCTTCCACTTCTCTCCAAGTGATCTCAAATAGAGGTCTGACCTTGAAAAGTCATGTGTTAATTGATTTACCCTTATTTCTTATATTCAGAGATTCCCGTGACATCATAACATGTCATCCATTAATAATATTCAATAAGGAATGTGAACAAACAACTCTTGCTTTACAGTGACCGCAGTCCTCGCAAATTACTGCTAAATCATTACACGTGTAATACATGTGACACACCGTGATATTCTTACCCCTTTTACAAATCTTTTCATTTTAATTCAGGTAAATTTAATACTGCAAGCTATTTCATATTTAATACCACTAAAGCTCCTGGGATCTTTTTACAGAGCTTGAATGTTTCATTCATTGTGACCTACACTCTAGCCTTTTTAAGTGGTAAGCCCCCGCAGGTCACACCACAACTGGGTTTAAGTGTCTGCAGTATTCAAAATGAACTGTATGTTCTACCGTGCATGCTTCTTCTAATGCTCCCCAGTGATAAACTGCCTGTCAACATAAGATTTGCAGTGCAGTCTGCAGTCTCTTATTACCTTTTACTGTTTTCAAAGAACACTTTTGCCTCCAAATATAATTATTTTAACATCAAACCTCAATGCTTTCAATTCACCTGACTCTTCTTACTCATAACTGGTATGACATTTTCCTCTTATGTCCATGTTAGCAAAGGTCGTGTCATGAATTGTAAATTCATTGCTGATTACACCACTTATTTTTATCTGCACAGTGGGCTGGGTGGGAGGGTCTAAGTAGTGGCATGTGTGTGTCTGGGGTGGTATATTTTAAATTATAAGGATCATGTTACGTTTAATTTTGTGGTTGCAGTTTTGTACAGTTGTGTAGGAATTGTTTTACCGTAACCAAATTCTAAATTGATCATTATCTACTACCTCTACTAATGATACAACATGTTCATGCCAAATTCAGCTATTAGCAATTACAAATGTAACAAGATATTGATTTTATATAAAAACAGAGATTAATCACATGTGTTACTGGCAAAGTCTGAGAGAGCAAAGGACAGGAAATAACACCCATAAAACCTAGATGGTAAAAAAAAACACTGCTCAGGGTTTCCACTCAAGGTAATAAGGATCATTTTTTGAGATTCTTCAGTGAAATCTGACAGGTCTGTCTCATTGGTCCCTGCTGGAGTAGGTTTTTATTTGGCCTCATTAATTTCTTATGGCCTGGTGAAATATGGAAACAATGTGATGCATACAAATACAAGGGTATAGAGGCTCCTGCCAACATAACCTTAGGCCTGCAGGGATGTGAATTCCATATGACCATATTAATTAGCAGACAAATGCATAATGCATAATATTACGTACAGATTAAAACATATTAAGCCTGACCTATTTAGACAGATCCATGGTATTAAATATTACTCTCACACATGGAAAGGACCTTTAAGGTTTTCATCATGTAAATATTTCAATAGCTCATTTGAGCCACATGGCCCAGTGCTGTGAAGCTGGATAGAGTTTCCTACAGTTTCCTACAGTTTCCACCCAGTGACATTTAGTCCCCAGAAACTGTACCATGAGATGAAGGATCTGCAGTATGCTGTCAAAGAAAATGACTAAGGTTGTCGTCAGTGAAATTCATTTAAGTGGCTGTTATATCATACAAGGTTATTTTTTTCTAGAAATATGTCTAATGCACCGAATGAATGTTAAAATGTGATCTTCATCATTCATTGACGAATGATCATTAAGTTCACTCACTTTAATTTTTGAAAAAAATGTATTTTCATTGAATTTACTTTAAAGTTCTAACCCTGCAGAAACATACTGATGCATATTAAGATTTACACATACACTCTAATGTCTCTCACACATGCAAACACATTTTGTAGATGAAAAGTATGCTTTGGCAATATTGTTAGACATGTAAT